CAATTTAATTTTGCTAATTTTATGTATAGCAACTTTTAGTAACATTAATCTAATGCAAATGACCGAATTTGCTACAATATACCTCTAAATCTTTGCATACCTGTGTAAGTGCAAAGAAAATTTTTAATATCTGTTTCTGAAGTAGAACGGACTGTTCAGATGAATCTGGCAATAAGCGTAATATCAATTGATAGATCATAGGGAGTAACAAATTCATTGCTTCATTTAATGGTCCCCTATCTTCTGCTTTCTTATACCTAGTTTCAGGATAAAAATATCGAAGTATTATAAAACTGTTTCCTACATAATGGAATATCAAAGGCGTACAATAAAACATACTCGAAATTTTTAACAAGCTGTTGCAGCGCGAGAAGAACACCAGGCCAGCATGCAGCATCGGGATTTTGAAGGTATATCGTAATTTTGTCCACTATTTGTGTCCATCTTCCAGGGAAGTCGTATTTAACTATATTACTGATGCAAACTGCTAATTGAATTCTAAACATACAATACAGATATGTTATGACAATTTTAATGTGTACATTTATATCATTCCTTTACTTCAAAAGTGACACAATTCAAAAACGTAATTTTTTTTTAATATTTACTATGAATTAAATAAACATTACTTTGTCAAAAGCACAATTTAACTTCATTTTAAAAATCATCAAAATTGTCACAAAAAGATTTATTGTTTAAACAAACATCACCACTCAAAAAGAATTATTTTTTTTTAAGGACTGTAAAACAAAAATGATATTTGATCATGTTAAGAAAAATATTCTTTTTGCGGATATATTATTTGATAAGAGAATTTTCTATAAGTAAAAAATAATTTTTTCTTTTTTCTTTTTTTAAATAATTTCATGTTGTTGCTTTTAAAGTAAGAATTCGTTTTTTTTAAATAATTAATAATATAAATCGCATTAACTTGCCTAATTAAGTCCGGGGCGTGTACCACGGCATCTACTATGGCATCGCGTATCATTGCACGATCTTGCTCGTGAATACTAAATTCTATGGGCCCACTTTCAACTTCCTTATCAGCCCAATGTGAAGTAATTAAATTTTTTAGATAAATTACACCTACAAAAATAATGGAATATTAAGCCTCGTAATTTATTATTTATTTTCAGTATTACATAATATAAGGGGATCACAAAGAAATATTTACCAGCTTGTCTGACAGGCATATCGACTTCATTTGACATTACTAACTGCAATAGCGTCGGTGCAAAACCAATAATTTTGTGAATCTGAAAAATTTAAATACACACACACAAATTTATTGCTTATAGTAACATTGTCGCATTATTGCTTTGATGCTACAATTCTAGAAGCTCATGATAACTTGTATACAAAATGCGTAAATAAGAGATAGCATAAACTAACACATAATTCTCTGCAGCTGAACTACTGCACATTTGTTATACTTAAAATAAAATAGATATATATTTAAAGTTTGGCGAAAACTAGAAAGTTTTAAAGTAGTCCAGTACAGAACAGATTTGTTTTTTTATAACTGGATTAGTATATTCTATATACTTAATAAAAACCTGTTCTTTTTAATTAAACTTTATGCATGGTTTGTCTTTTCTTTTTTATTTTCTAACATAAGAGAAAAGGAAGCAAGATAAATGGTACAGCAAGAAACAAAAAATCCGTTTTCTGTTCCTGCTAGACTGTATTGGAACTATCTTTCTTTCTTTTGCCAAATATCAAATATATACCTGTCTCACTTTAAGTTCCAAAAATGTACTTCAGTCCAGTCACGAAAAAAAAACAAACCTAATTATTTAGCTAGATTTAGTACAATTCATGCCCATTTCCACCAATGTAGATTAACTGTAATCTCAGTTCAACTTACTCTTTGTCTTTTTTTAATCTTTAGGTCCAGTTCCACACCTCATGATTAACTCTCAACTGAAGTTCAACTTGTTTCTTATCTCTTTCCAATTTAAGAATTGGAAAGAGACAATGAATAAATTGAACCTCGGTTAAAACTTAACTATAAGTTGTGGAACTGGGCTTTAGAACTAGAAAAAGACAAAGAGTAAGTTGAACCAAGATTAATCTAGATTGGTGGAAATAAGCATCAGTGCAGCAACAAAGAACAGAGGTTTAATTTTTATAATTGAATTAGTGTATCCTCTTTGTATTTGATATTTGGCAAAAATGAGATGGAAAGTTCTAACATACTGCAGTGCAATAATAAAAAAAAACTTATAGTGAGATAAATACATTTTAATATTTGCCAAAAGAGTGAAAAGAAAAGTTCTAGTATAGTTCAGTGCAGCAAAAAAATCTAATGTATCAACTTAAGCCTGCAGCATACTAATGCTTGTTTTCTTGTTGGATTGCTAGCTGGATTAGAATCTAGCCATCGTATTGGCTATAGTATTGACAATACCAGCATTGCAGCCAATACGATGACAAGATTCTAATCCAGCTAGTAATCCAGCAAGAAAACAAGCATCGCGTGCCGCAAGCTTTATTGCTCATAGGAACATCATCATTATCATTATCATTACTATGATGTTACCGTAATTCTACAAGCTCATAATTTATAGAGCATTTAGAAGCATTTAGAATACATGAACAATAGATAGCATATACATAACATATATATTTAAAGTATATAAAAATAAAACACATTAGCAATATATAATACAGATTGCAAAATTACAGGTCATGTTGGGATAATTTCGTTGAACAATACGGCGCGTTAACACGCAACGTGAAAGACATAGCTGATTGAGAATAGCTATGATCTCAAGAATTATGTATCACCTCGAGGGTCAAAGAATGCAGATGCTCCGAAAATATCTCCTCGCACGCGCAAGGAGAGGTTAACGAGCGCGAGCGTGGATCCAAAAGTCCAGCTAACATTCATCTCAAAACTCGGACAAAAGGTATCCCTTTTGCGGTCTCGCCGACCTCTTTCTCGTTGGACCGAGTTTGCTGCGATTGCTTCATCGCCGAGAAGAAACGAAGTCTGTCAAAAAAAAAAAAGATCCCCTTCCCCCCCTTTCCCCCGTGGCGGCGGGAACAGTGATGAGCACGCCGGCATTATTCTCTCGGCAAGGCCACGTTTCCCGATTTCACGGTTCACATATGCAAAATCGGGAGACGAGGATCGACACGAGACGAGGCCACATGTGCTAAAGATGCTCGGAAGCTCGTCCTCTCCTTCTGTCTTTCTCTCTCTCCAACCCCTCGCACACGCACATTCTTTCTCGCTCACTCCTTTAACCTTCAGCCGGGTAGAATCGCACAAGCACGTTTTCTCATCTAAATTCGCTCGCGAATTTCCATACCTGGTTAAGCTGCCCCTCTGCCTCCTTTTGCTGCGCGGGATCGATCGTCGCCCGCAACAGCTCGGTGAGCTTACGCGCGTCCATCGCTCCGGGCCGCTTCAGCTCGTCTTGTATTAATTAGACGCCTGAATTTTTGCAGATCGAATATCCCAGCGCCAGACTTGACCCGGCGCATTCACCTCGCACTGCTTGCTCTTGCCTGGCCTGGCCCAGTACAGTCACGTGACACAACAACATGGCGGCGTGGATCAGCTTTTGAATCATCGCATCCGGTCGTGAACCATGCATCTCGCGTTAGATGCGATCCCCGTATAGTGTGTTTGATGTCGTCGATGCAATGAATATCGCCTTAAGGCTCGATTCCACCAATGGCTGCATAAATGCATTTAGCAGAGAATGATTAGTTTATATATTTATAGAGTATTCGATTTGCTGATTCTCGACTCCATAGTCTGCTATTTTTTAGCTACAAAAGAAAAGATAAACTATACAAGAAAATTGTACAGCCAAATGGCTGCATTCAACAAGGGCTGTGTTCATAATCACATTACATATTGTCGGTTACGGTTGCTGGTTGTTGGTTCTATTTTAGCTAATTTAGTTTTGTTGAAAAGACAACTTAAAAAAAAAGATATCTTTTTATTTTCATTCATCTTCCTATTTTCGTTGTCGTTTTCACAAAGCAAAAAATCGACTAGGGGCTTCCCATCTGGCCAAAATCGCCATTCTAAGATCAATATTATATGCGTTTTTTGTCGTACGATGAATATTTCAAGCATGTTAATTGGCTGCAAGACAAAAAGGATCTCGGACCTCTTTGTCCTACAGCCAATCAAACAGGCTTGAAAAATGTGTCATAACAAAAAAACGAACGCATGTAATATTGGCCTAATAGCGAGTGCCACATCAAATTAGAAGTTTCACCTGCGCCCAATATATGCGATTTTTCGCGTTTGCAGATTATACTTAATACAAATAATCTCATACAAATAAGTTCATTTGTAGTTATGTAATCACGTGGCGGATAAAAATGCATATCCTTACACAAATTTACTACGTAATCCACTAAATCTTTTTTGTTAATAAATCTAAAAAGACCTCAAATTACTTGTTTCATACACTTAAATTTTGACAGCTTTGAGATGGTTTAAGCTAGTGCATGAACCAATCAGAGAGCCATGTTAGATGCTAGTGCATGAGCCAATCAGAGAGCATCTTGACATTGCTTGAGATTAAGAACGGACTGAATTGCGCTTAATTTCAGCGATGCAAAACTATACATGATATGTATATTTAATTAATCATTATGATGTATACTGTACTAATTTGGTACATTATACATATTATTGGCTGCGTTTAACGGACTCAACAGTTGAGCGCTCGCTGTTATTGATGTATTCTTTTAGATCATCCAATCAGCATTTTAGATCTGGAAGAATATATCAATAGCAGCGAGCACTCACTCAACTGTTGAGTCCGCTAAATGCAGCCATTCTTTAAATACAATACATTGCTAAAATTAAAATAATTTAATAGAAAGTTACTAGTTAGTACGTGTATTGAGGTGTACACGATATAAACTAGCCTCTGTGTCGCTGGCTGAATAGTCAGGAGCTTTAAAGTGAAATATATATATATATATATATATATACATGTTTTAACAAGCTCCAACATGTTCCAACATGTTCTATTCGAGCGCGCTTCAATAGGACATTGAAACATATTGGTGGAAACGCGAATCTATCTAAAGAAAAAAGGTCCATTAATTTACATCTAATCAAAAAAGAAAGAAACATACAAAATTGACTACGAAAAACAGATCCTTTAAATTGAGCTCGCAGCCTTATGATCGATTTTCATATCCTTTTGCAATCCTCCGTCTAAATCCTGAAGACTCATTCTCTTTTCCAGTCATTTCCAGTTGCATCGCGTTAAATCTTTCGCACTAAAAATAAGATAAATATGTAAATCAAGCATCGAAGAGAAAAAAAAGAAGAGAGATCGTCCAATCGGGAAAAAAAGAAAAACTAAACCAATAATAAATTCGATTATGAATAAAGCGATTATTGGCAGTTCGCGACAGCTCGATATCTATACACGTGGACGACAACAGGCTTGGAATTAGGAGCGTGCGAACGAGGGCACCGTGGAGGGCACCGTGGAGGGCATCGCATGAGAACCCGCCCAGCGTCGTGCTGCCGCACAGCAATGCATCGACAAACTAAATAATCGACGTCAAAAGCTGTCAAATATGGCGAGGGGCAGCGAGAGAGAGCGGTAATTGACATGTAAAAATGTGAATGGCCCCGCCGCGGCCCGCACTGTGATCTGCGCTTCGATCGGGTGGGTGGGTCGCGCGCTCGTGGCCGACGATCGCGGTGTCCTCGCGTGCGTGGATCCGGGCTCACGCGGACGACGACGGCGACGACGACGACAATCGACGACGATGTCGGGCCCGTCGCCGGCGCCTGTCGAATGCCGGAAGTGAAGTGTTTCCCGGCGCGACCGCGAGGGCAGTCCGAACCAGGAGCCAGACAGGGCTCTACACACAGACCCGGGAAGGAGGGGCATGGTATGGTAATCATCGGACAAACGCTATGGGCGCTCAACAGACCAAGGACAGGGTGATCCCCGCCGGGTCCACCGTGCGGCAGACACGCAAGCAGCCCAGAAATCTCAAAGATACGCGCGTCATAGGCTCTAACATATTCACCGAGCACAGCGGTGAGAACACACATCACTATCGTTCTCTGTCTTGTTCCTAGACCTGAGCTCCTAAAGTAGCCTCCTCGAACACATTCCACTGGATGTCCATGTTGAGGCATGATGCTTTTGCAACTCATGCTAGAACTGGCATGTTTCTCCTGTGGCATGTTTTAACACTGTTGTGCTTTCATGACTTGACACAATGTGATATGGTATATTTATAAATTAATAGCAACGATAAGAAAGTAGTACTTAGAAATAGTCTAAAGATCTGTCTTCTATAGCTAATATATTATTCATTTTGGAGCTTAAAGTGGTATATGTTTAAGATTTGAGTAAAGCAAGAAGAAAAGTCTTAGTGCAAGAATAAAAAACAAACCTCGAGATTTATTTTTTTTTGCTGCACTAGACTGTAGTGAAACTTTCCTTCTTGCTTTCACCAAATTTCAAACATGTACCTGTTTTGTTTTAAGTACAGGAAATGTACATTAGTTCAGTTATAAAGAAATATCTCTGATTTTATGATGTTTTCTAACATATAAATTAATGTTTATATTGGCATGAAATAATAGAAATATTATTGGCTAAATAAAGGTTTTGCAATATATAAACATGTATATCTGTGTATGGAAAAAGGATGTCTATATGAAGATTCATACAGATATGGCTGATAATCATCCTTATTGTATTATGTTACTTTGAATGTAATTATGAGATTTTTCAACATCTTGCATTATTATATAAGCAATGAGCTGCTTTGAGATTATCAGTACAGAAGTTTTCTTTTGGATACATTGAAGGTTACATAGAAGATTGTTTTCTATCTTTTACAGAGGCACTTTTGCAAAGTAGACCTCTACCTCACATTCCAGCATTGCCAGAAGGTGATCCTCCGAGTGGTTCTAGTGTTCAATCAATTTCACAGCAAGCTAACATTCAACAGCACGCCAGTGTGTCCACTAGTGGACTTCTTGAAGCAGCAAATAGGTCAGTTTCATTGTTTAAAGTCTGAAGGACATATGTCACAGATTATATAATAGCTATTTTATCTACTTTTGTATAAGGTCAGACTATAAAAGACTCTTATATAAATTATTTTTAATACATAATAAGAAGATAGGGAGATCCTTATTACATAGGTTTGCTTTTTTTATATACTTCTTTATTTCTATTTATAAGATATAGAATCTTGAATATAAAGGATATTATCTTTATATGATGTTATATCTGGATGTTATATTTACCAATATATTTTACCAATTATTTAATTCTAGAAATAATATTTTCTATTTTTATACAGATGGACTAGCAAGGAAAACCTCTTAGCACAAGAGGAGGATGATCCTCAATTATTTGTCGCCTTGTATGATTTTCAAGCTGGTGGGGAGAATCAACTTAGTTTGAAAAAGGGTATTAAATTTATGTTTCATTAAACATTACATAAAGATTGCATTTCATCAAGTTTTAGAACGTAAATGTTAATTTTTTATAAGTGTAACATAGCTTAAATGTTATTCTTTAATTTTTCCAAACAGGTGAACAAGTACGTATCCTAAGTTATAATAAAAGCGGAGAATGGTGTGAGGCTCATTCGAGCTCTGGGCAAGTGGGATGGGTACCATCGAATTACGTTACACCCGTGAACTCCTTGGAAAAACACTCTTGGTATCATGGAAGGATATCTAGGAATGCTGCAGAGTATCTGCTGAGTTCAGGGATAAACGGTAGTTTTCTTGTACGGGAATCGGAGAGCAGTCCCGGACAACGTAGTATCTCTTTGAGATACGAGGGTCGAGTGTATCACTATAGGATTAACGAAGATAGCGAAGGAAAGATGTTTGTCACAACAGAAAGCAAATTCAACACGTTAGCTGAGTTAGTGCATCATCATTCAATGCTTGCTGATGGCCTTATAACGCAACTGCTTTATCCTGCACCAAAGCATAATAAGCCTACCGTCTTTCCTTTGAGTCCGGAGCCGGACGAATGGGAGATTAACAGGACGGACATAGTAATGAGACATAAGTTAGGAGGCGGCCAATACGGCGATGTGTATGAAGCAGTCTGGAAGAGATACAACATGACCGTAGCGGTTAAAACTCTGAAGGAGGATACGATGGCATTGAAGGATTTTCTGGAGGAAGCGGCTATCATGAAGGAAATGAAACACCGAAATCTAGTACAATTACTGGGAGTTTGTACACGTGAACCACCGTTTTACATTATCACGGAATTCATGAGTAAAGGGAATCTCCTCGATTATCTGCGGAATGAGAGTAAGCATCAGATTAACGCTGTAGTTCTGATGCACATGGCTACACAGATTGCGAGCGGCATGAGTTATTTAGAGAGTAGAAACTTCATTCATCGCGATCTGGCGGCCAGAAATTGTCTGGTCGGCGAAAACCATCTTGTTAAGGTTGCAGATTTCGGTCTAGCTCGTCTTATGAGAGACGATACGTACACAGCCCATGCAGGGGCGAAATTTCCTATAAAATGGACTGCACCAGAAGGTTTAGCATATAATAAATTCTCCACAAAGGTACAAAGATCGTTAAGAAATATAATTATTACGTTATTGAATTACGAATAATGATAATTGATTTTTACAGTCTGATGTATGGGCATTCGGTATCTTATTATGGGAGATTGCCACTTATGGAATGTCCCCTTATCCTGGTGTCGATCTAACAGACGTTTATCACATGTTGGAAAAAGGCTATCGAATGGAATGTCCTCCCGGTTGTCCAACAAAAGTTTATGATCTGATGCGTCAGTGCTGGCAGTGGTCAGCAGCAGAACGGCCAACTTTTAAGGAAATACACCTTTCATTAGAAAATATGTTTCAAGAATCTAGTATTACCGAAGGTAAATGGATTATTCTAGATTAGAGTATTAACTAATATTTTTTATAAAAAAAATTATGTTCTTATTGTAATATGTTCCTGCAATATTGCAGAGGTAGAGAAGCAACTTCAAGGTGGGGGGGAAATTCCATTGCTAGCATACAAAAAATCGCAGACTGGAAGTACAGGAAATATACATGGACTTGTTCTTGTATCCGAGCAATTATCTTCTTCCGGCATAACGCAAGGTAATATTTAATGTTATAGTGTTGATAATGACTCAACCATGTGACGCATTTTAACATTGAAATATTAGGTGTTGGAATTAATTCGTAGCGTTTTACAAGTGATGGGAAGTACTTTCATTAATGTATTTTTTAATGCTCATGTGAAATAAATAACATTCTTTCATTAAAAAACGCTACGAATTAATTCCAACACCTAATAAAAAGGTGTGAACTGTAATTATAGTTTTAGTAGTATAATTAAAAAAGATAGTTCAAATTTGATCTTTCTAAATTTTAACATATATTCCAAAGGGTATTGAATAATTTTATTGCTTCTGATATTCTTTTCTTTAAATATTTGAATATAATTTTTGTTTTTATATTATATAGAAAATTATCTAATATAGCATATGATTTATCTAAAATAGTAGTATTTATTCGACAATATATATTTTATATAGAAGGAGCCAGCTCGGTCACCAAATTAAGTACTTTTATGGGAGGTTTGTCAAGTAGGAGTAATAGTAATATGGTTCAAATGCGAAGATCTACCAATAAAAAAGGAAAACAGGCGCCAGCACCTCCTAAGCGAACAAGGTACTTACTCCCCCCCTCCCCCCTCCCGCCTATAAAACATACAATCATAATTCGGTATATAAAGTTATTTATCTTCTGTGACAGCTTACTATCATCGTGCAGTTCTTTTCGAGATTCTGCCTATCAAGAACAAGATCAGCAAAATGTTGAAGTGAGCACTATGACGCTTGACGATGGCACAGATCTAAATGGTATTGATAAAATTTTTGAAGGTATTCCACTATATCAAATTAAGTGTAATGATGAATGCACGAATGCTGCTTCCATTTGATTTCTTTTGTTAACTTTCAGTTGACTTTAAGTTTAATTTTGATATGCATCTTCGCCTACAGTGATTTACGGCTTCATGAATGTGGGTCATTCTCCTCGAGCCAGTATGTATACTTGAATGTTGAATACACGCCGAATACTAATTTCCGGTATAATAGTACTTGGATATATTTTATTAATGCATACTCTCGAGCGTCTGCATCTCGTACTGTTAATCGTAGCTACAGTTCTTCGTTCCCACTTATACGAATAGGGAACGATACTTTACATATGTTATCTATCATACTGACAATGAGTTACAAACCCAACAGGTTCCATATTAGGTACTCATGCATGATATTTGTTTTTGCAGAGGTACAAGTAGAACGTCGTTTTTCCTCTTTGGTTTTAGATTTCTAGATATGTATCATTTTGATTTCTTGTTTAATTATTCTCATTCTAAAGAGATTGAGATTCGACTGCGCAAGGGGCATTATTATTTCATCGATTTTATCATCGTATAAAATTCAACTGTGTTCAAGCAGTGTTACGTGAGTTTACTGAGCTTCTTATTCATACATATATTACAAAAAAATCATTCAGAAAACTAACACACGTCATATATCATTTCTCATTTTCACTGATTGTTTATTGTCAACGACGTCACTCTTATCTAACTCATAGAATTACAATGTACACAATTTAAGGATCTGCTGTTAACTGAATGTCGATTAAAGGAGAATGACCCTAGGATGAATGAAGTGTGACTAGAAGAAAAAGCAGAGAATAACATTGATAGGCGCCGCAAATATTCTTTTCTTAGCTTTCCTCCAGAAATGTCTATAACGCGTTGTGCTTACATGCTGGAGAGATACCTTAGCTATAGATTATATACAGTACACCTTATTAAATGGCGACTCAGGTATCACACGTGATCTCGTGACAATGGCTACACAGTCAATTACTACAGGAGGTTGCGATATGGACGACGACGGAGATGGGTCGCAAGGGACAGCAGAACATAACTTTGTTCCTCAACCGTCAACCTCGCCGGAACCAGTATCCAACTTACCATGCAATCAGAAACAAATTAAATCTCGACCTTACACGTCTAAGGAAGTACTGCCTCAGAAGGTACAATGATCTTACGTTGAACGGCCACAATTTCAAAGCTATATAAATACTAGACACAGAAACAATACCTTCTTTACCCGCGTACGATATTAAATATTACCAGATACTATAACGATAATATTTCTGTATGTTTGTGTTATTAAGAATCTCAAAGTAAAATCCGTTTCGATGGTAAATGCATTTAGCACTGCTTGAATAACTTGCGTTGTTTGATTCAAAGAAGCGATTTTGCGATTTAGAATAAAAATCTATTTCAGCTGGTCCACGTGGGTGCGCTGGAGGTGCAAAATGTTAAGAGGGCGATCAACCGTTACGGCACTTTGCCAAAAGGAGCCAGAATCGGAGCGTATTTGGAGTCCCTACGACAAAGCGGTATGCCGCCGAATCAAGAGAACATCGCCACGTCCTCTTTATCCAATGCAGTCATAGAACAGCAGCAGCAGGACATTATCACCGCGAGCGTTGTCGACGTGATCCCGCAGCATCGTTCCCTTTCACCTCGTCAGAATAATTTACGCAATCAACCACAGATGACGCGTAGCAACTCTTCGAGCGGAGTGGTAAATACCTATCAGCCGCCGAACTCACCTCGCAGCCGTGCCGTAGGTATCAGGAAAACCAATACAGAGGGGATCGGCTTGCGAACTTTTCGAGTGCCGAACAATTCCAGCTTCCGTACTGCCAGCCCGTCGAGATCGGTTCAGCCAACTCTGGCTGATCTGGAGTTTCCACCACCACCAGTGGATCTACCACCTCCTCCAGACGAAGCCTTCGATCACTGTGATTTGCCACCACCTATCACAACGGCGTCACCATGCGAGACATCCTCTTCTCACACGAAGATAGCAAGCTCGCCAGTCGGCCTTAGGAAAGTGAAAGCAGAATGGCGGAGCAAAGACGAGATCAGCGATTACGATCAGGACGATAGAAATAATGATGTGAGAAACGCGGAGCCATCAGTGAAGGAGGCTAGTTCGCGATTCGGCGTGAATCTGCGACGCCGGGAAACGACTGCCGGCGATGCGCATTGCGGTAGCGGCGGCGGCGTTGGTAAGTCCGCGGACGAGAAGAAATTAATTTTTAGACCAAAGGAAACGACAAGCAGTGGCACGATCAAAACGGAATCGTTGGACGCGACGATCGTGGCACCCGAGGAAGCGCCACCGCCGCCTCCACCACCGCCGCCGCCTATCGACGGTGCCGTAATCGGAACCAGTACCACCGACCCCTTCGAGTCCAAACCCGGCATGAAGGAGATGCTGGAGCTCAAGCTGATCAACGAGATCAAACAGAATGCAGACATGAAACACGGTGGTACCGGCTTCGCGAAGAAGACTGGTAGTGTCGCTAGTAGCAACGCGCCTTTGTCGGCGGCACCACTCGACCCGGCGTCGCAGCTTCTATCCGAGTTGTGCGCCAGCTTCAGCATGGATTCCGCCAATAAGCAGCATATCGTCCCGAGCGAGTACGCAATCTCGATGTTGAAAAGCAATGACGTGTCTAACGTTCAGGAACACGTTCACATGAACATGCCGAGCGCGCACACTGACAGAAGCAGCGGCCACAAGGAGATCCCGATGACTTCGCCGATTACGGAAGGCCATGTATTGAGTGCTGCTAGTGTAGGTTTCAAATTGAAGAAGGTAGACAAGAGAAGTAATCCACAGAAGGAAGAGAATCCGGATGGTCAAATAATCGACTTCAAGGCTCGGTTGCGAAAGGTGGATAATACTGACAAAGAGAAGGCCGTGGCGGACGAAAGAAACAAGTCATCGCGCTTTGACGACTGCACGCAGGGAAGTAACGTCGCGGATTCGGCGGATTCGTCGTCTGGTGTGGATGATGCGAATGATGACAAGCGCCGCAGCACCGGCAGTATTAGTAGCCTAAAAAAATTGTGGGAGAACAAAGAGGCTTCTTGTGATAACCAACCACTTAGTCCTAAATTAAATGTGAGAGGGGCGAGTAGCAAACAGGATGTCGGTGACATTGCGAGCGAGGACTCTCCAGAGGATCATAGCGGTGCCTCGACCAGAAGCTCGACCAGCAAAGGCGATCCGCGAATATGGCCTCCAACCTCGTCATCCTCAGTAACCTTGGAAATGGAAAAGCCGATCGTACCGGCCAAACCATTGAAACCACTCGGACCCTCCAGCAAACATTTTGGTTCCTCGATATACGCCACGCCGAATTGCAATAAGTCGTCACAGAGCGACGACGACAGTAGCAAGCAGACTAGCGGCGAAATGACAAAAGGGGCGAAGCATAGCGTGATGGAAATCTCGAACGTTATAGAAAACAGCATTTTGAATCTGAAGGGTAGTCCCACCATAGTTATGGCCAGCTGGCTGCAGCTTTCCGACAAGGTCGGCTTGCTTCACGGCATGTGCGTCAACCTGACGGATACGGCGATCGCGCCGCATGCGAGATTCCAATTCCGCGACCTGCTCACTCGGCTCGAGCTGCAGGCGAGGCAGCTGCGAGCTGCCGGCACACGCAACATCACCGAGAACACGAGACTCTTATGTGATGTGCAGAATACGATAAAGGACGTGATAAACACGGTGCAGAGGTAAAGCCGCACCGGGCCGGTTAAAAAATCAAAACGAGCATCTCGCCCTGCGAGTTTTCCCTGCACTCCACCGCCCTACCCCTGTGATGTACCCCGATCGCAGAAGTCATCACTCTCGTCCCTCCTATCTCTTTCTCTCTCTATCTCGCATTCGCATGTGGACGTATAGTATACATATAAATTTATATAAATATATATCTAAGTCACTAAATAAGGTTTTATCAAGGAATGAAATCTTTTTTGAAAGCATAGCAATTAATCTACGCGAGCGAATAAGAGCGAACTTAATGTGAATAAGTCCTTAATCGATAATACGACTGCATGATCCTTAGAGGAATTAATCCAAAGTTGCATGAGTCGTCGGTGACACTTCTTGACAGTCACATAAGGACACAACATGTACGATATAAAACACAACTCGTACAAGATCCTATATATATGCAGTAAATTCTATAAGTTCGTATATATTTACATCTCTCTGCCTGCATACCATCCATGCGCTTTTTTTGGAAGATCTTTAAGAAACCGCTATGATCAGCGTGTACAATGTCATAGGCCTGGCAGAAATACGGCCTTAAAACGAGAAAGAAACGTATACACCATTGCATGATTGAATTTTTATGTCGAGACGTAACGACGGTTTTCATATACGGTAGTAAATGTGATGATTATAATTACTGTATGGAATAACTGATCAAGCAAATTCTCAGTAGTATATAATCGGCGTATTGGCATGATTGAATGGGGGCATATTAAACGTGAAAAAATGAGAGTCGCGTCGCGGACGCGAAAATATCGAACACGCTAAACTCTATATCCTCGAATCGCTTACGTATCGCGTATATATAAATCGTTTCGTTTTACATGTAATTTTATACACACATCGTGCTAGATTTTTAGATTAGACTATATATATATAAATACAGACAACACACCTAACATAAGCCGTTTCATGTGTACTGTGGGACAATATAAACGATTTTGTATTTGTATAGAGTAAGTTGGATATAACAGCTATACACAACGCGATAATTGATTACGCCTACACGTAAAATTATATTCAAAACAAACCACAAAATCGAATGTAATTAATCAAACAATTTTTGAGTGTCGTGTGCTTCGTTTTTATCCATGATGGTATAGTTCTTCCAAAAGCACAATAGCGGAAATATTCGCCTGAAGACATCCATGTGTGAACGATTCAGTAACAGTTATTTTATAGAAAGTGTGTCTCCAATAGACACATTATAGATGAACTGAGAGAGCCAAAACAAAGTAAAGGAACACTGGCCGTAACCATATGCCGTAATCTATAAGAATCGACTAATCAAATATTCCTCTCTTACAGCCGAATGAGAGGAGAATACTCGACTGTGATTGGTCAATTCTTATTAATTACGGTATATGATTATGGCCAGTATAAATCCTCCTAAATGGACAAATAATAATATACGATATGTATTATCTGTGTCTGTACAGTATTTTCTCTACATGCTGTCATATGCAATGAAGTTTTTAAACATCATGCATTTGTTACTCGCACTTATTCTTCTCTATTGTCACTCATATATCGCATATACGTTTTGCATCTTTTAGATAAAGAAACAAAAGGAAAAGAGTAAGCTTTAGTAAGTATTATATATGCAGTTAAATTTCTGTTATTTATGATGATGTAATGTTACATAGTTCTACGCAGATGCTTGTTAACGTCGACTGTATGCATCCCCGCGAAAGGAACAAATATAAGTTAAGTTTTGTAGTTTGTATAATAATACATCGATTGTAAAGCTATTATCCCTACGATAGTATACCGGATTGATTTTATGGAGGTTTTCAGGCTTATACTTCGTCCGGCTTCATTGTGCTCTCGATACTAAAGGAGAATGCAATAGAGGAAATAAGTCACCGATGAACTGTTTCTTATGACACACTGCCTATATTATATGTTACAGCTAGTAGTATACATATTGAATTCACTAGTACTCTTAATCATGTAAATGTATTTCTTCTTTTGATCCAATCTCTCTCTCTCAAATTTCTTTATATTTTGTACCTGTGATAAAATAATCAAGCTCTTTCTCTTCTTTTCATCAAAAGAATCATGCTCAACAGAAACGCTAATAGTTATACGAATAAATTTTAATCACCAGACATTTATTCGTATATGAAATTGTATTATTGAAAGAGATACTAAAATTAATGTTTTATATAATGTGTATTATAGTAATTTTATGTCTATTTATACTCTCTCGTATTTATTTCTAATTTTTTGATGTAAAATTACAAGAATCGACCAACGTACTGATTTACTAATACAAAATTTTAATATTGCTTTATACATTGATATAAGATTGAAAAACCGAAAATAAAAATAATTACCAAATTATGTTGTTTTTTTTTTCAATTTGGATGACATGACTGTAATTTTATCCTGGATAATGTATACTGTCAAAATTGTATTTTATTTTGCTATATACATTACACTATCATATATGGACAAATAAACTAATATACACATTGCGTTGGTTTTATGATATATATTTATTATAAATATATATAAACATTTAAAAATTTTCTTTAGCAATTATCACAGTTTATACAAATTATCGCTGTTTATAAATTATTGTATATTATTAGTATAAGTCTAAATAACAGTCTTATCAGGTCCCTGATAGTCATTCTACTCATTATTCTAATAGTTGTAGTAATCGAAAACAGTCATTTATGATTTTCTATTTCTTATCCATGACTGTAATTAGAAAAGTTTGAACATTTTAGAGCTCATCTGCTTATATTTCATTTTACCTTGATTAGAAACGATTCATCATATAAGTTTCCGCAAGCAATCCGAGTTTCAACTGCATTTTTTTTTCAAATCAAAGTAGTGTAGAAGTATACGTCGGAAAAACAATTTATTGCGTTCTATTTTAATTCAGTTATACAAAAGCACATGCGTTCCATGAAATAAAGGATAGCGTTTGTTAATTGTATTTTAGCGGGAAATGTTTACACTTTTCAAAATGACATAAGTAACAGATGTCTCTGACAACAGCATACGCAGTTAGAGCCATCTAGACGTAAACAGCGGCTTTTAATGCAATCTAATATAATGCAAACTTTATCCTTATAACTCTTAGTATTTCATATCAGACACTTTATTACAAACGAGGAGATAAGTTTAACAAATTTGTTATGAGACAAATAGTGAAATAAAAATACAGATATCGTCTTAACACAAAGGTATTGAAATAAAAATTTATTTAGGCATGACAAGAAATTCAAATTAAAATTTAAGTCATAAAAATCGAGGTACAGATACAAGTGGATCTAATATTTTCAAATATTTCTACTTCTCTGATATTTTTATAGTCAAGAGTGCAAAAGTATGATGTGAATATTAGCATTTATCCTGTATTTGGCTGAGCGTTAAGAGTATATAAATGGTATATGTTCTGAAGATAGCAACTATTCAGAACTTTTATAGATTACATTTGTCGACAATGCCAACTACACCATTTTCCATGTTAGAACAGCGTTGTCCATATACATTCTTGAAATTATTTAAAATTATATACAGTTAATATATACCAGGGTGTTTAAAAAAAGTCGGGACCTTGGATTTACTCGGGAGGACGATTTTTATTAACGATTTAAATTAATTAATAACAATATTTTATATTTAAAAAATAAATGTTTAAATTAATTAATGTTATTTTATATTCATGATATTTTATATGTTCTAAAAATGTGTTTTGAAAAGCTTTAACATCTATTAGATTCTAGAATAAAAAATAGGGCGTCCCAGTAAAAAAAAATCGATTTGATCTTGATTTGATGTTGGCGACGCTAATCCAAGATCAAACTGATAAGATCTGTAAATAGATCTTTTTGTATCTTACAACTTTTGTCTGAAACATTTCTTTCAAAAACGTCATTCTCTTGAGTAAATTCAGGGTCCCGATCTTATTTGAACATTCTATATATATAATCAAAAGGAGATAAAAAGGAATATATTTGGTAATATTATTGTTGCTTATTTCTCTCTTTGCCCAGAAAATGTAATACAGTTTCATGAATACTTTTGCAGTGCAAGCCAGCACGACTTGATTAGCTTGTAAGATCTGCGAAAGTGAACAAGTAGATAATAAGGATAGTGTAATCAAATATATAATCAAACATTCGAAATGTGTGTGTGTAGTACATTAAATTAGTATTTATAATTGTCACACGTTCGCTTTCAGAAATTTTAACTTTATAAAAATATAATTGCTGGAAGGATAAATCGGCAATTTATTTATTTAGTCATATATTTTAATTAATATCATTAAAATATTAATATTATACATGGAGCTATAGGTGTAATTGATTAACAATTAAATTAGAGAGAATTATTCTATAAATCGTAGGATATTGTTCAATTTTGTTCATTTTTATTTTCAATTAATGCAAAAATCTTTTAGAAATATGTAATATAAAATTTGAATAATTAGTACGTAGTCACATGCATTAGATATATGCGATTTCAGAATACTCAACTAATCTTTTTTTCTTGAATCTGACTAAATCTTTTTATTAATAACATTTGAAAAATGTGCGCGCACGCACGCATGCGTGCCGCTTAAGCTAATTTTAAGCCGATGAGCCAATCAGGATTGCTTTAGATTTATGTAATCTAACGGAAATGGAAATAACAATAAACTTATTTATAATCTCACTTACAATAAAGTGAATTTCAACCGGTTGAAACTCGCCTTATGGATAAGTTTACTGCTATTTCTATTTCCGTTAAAGTAAATCTACAGCAGTATTTCTCGTTGGCTTAACAACTTAGGGTGCATTCCACTTGATACAAGTCGACACAAGCGTCTTTCTATTCTTGTTGACATTCAGAGAATGACAAAGATAGAATGACACTTATGTCGACGTGTCATCAAATGGAAAGCACCCTTAAGTTCACATCTTATGTCTGGCAAACCAGCGCGATGTTCGTCGCGCACGACGCGATCCAATGAGTGTACAGCTTTACCGATGTCCTCATTCTAAAGGTATACTGTCATTGGATACCACGTGTCGCGTGCGGTGTTCACCGTGCGGCAAAAGTTGGATTGAGTTCAACTTTTGCCGCGTAGTGGAAATTATATTGGGTCATCTAAAAAGTATCCGCGGTTTTTTGTGACTAGATGTATGTTGATGGTCATATATCTAGTGACAAAGTACCGCGGATACTTTTTAGATGACCCAATATATAATATCTATTACTTCCGAGCAAACGAGATATTGATTGGTTGTCGCGTCAACTTCCGCTGCGCGATAAGCATTGCTGCGTTCTGTGTGCAGGAGCTATTATATTCAAAACCTTAAGTCTTAAGAAATCATGAATTAATGACCTAGTTTCC